GAGCGGTTCATACCCTGGGCTGCAGAAATATTCACTTCAAGAGGCTTCCAAGTTGAAAGCAAACAATTTCTGCCCCTACTTTTCATTTGATGGTTTATGTCCTTGGTTTCAGGTGCTGCACACTTCCTTATAAAAGAGTTGTCTTATCATAACTTGGAGCTTGAACGAAATCGTCAGGAGGAGCTGGGGATAAAACCCCAGGATATTTGGCCTTTCATTGTCATTTCAGATGACTCCTGTGTCATGTGGAATGCAGTAGAAGTTGATTGTTCAGGAGACAGGAAAAGGTAAATAGAGCTTTTCCAGCTGATCTCTTTTAAGCTTTCACTGCATATCAGTTTTGAAATTGCATTTGATATGCTACAACTTTTACCCTGTACAAGCAGAGAATATTTGCCTAATGAGAGAAGTATTTTCCCTAGATATCTGCCTTTGCATAGCACATAGTTTTGTGCCTGTTTTTCATTCCTGTCCCCTGAGGATTTAAGTGCCCTGCAGCCTTTGCTGTATACCTTGACTCCGGTTCAAACTAGAATTACTTGGACTGCAGATTTCAGGCTCTGTAAACAGTCCCCAATACACCGGGCAGGCATGGGCATTCACACGTGCATTTTTAACAGGATTTTTCTAAGGAAGCTAAAAGACATTTCTGTGCAAATCATGCAACTGATTTCCTCTGGCTTTTTTGTCAGTCCCGGTCTATATGGCTCCTTTATTAGCTCCCCACATACCCAAACAAGTATTTTTGTTTTCATTACTTTAGAAGATTGTTTGTACTAGATATTTTTATCTATTCCCAGAATGGTGCTATGCAGGATTTACAGCAAACATTCAAAGAGAACTAAACGCAATGAGAACTGAGATTTATGGACTCTAGGGGTGGGCTAGGAGAATCTTACACTTTGCACATAAGTTATGGCACAAAGTCAGCAACCCTCCCAGAGTTATTTGGGACATTAGCCAGGTAACTTTAAAAGTTTACATATCTGAGTGAATATTTTGAAAGATCCAGACTTATTTTCAGATTTGTCATGCCAGTCCCCACCCCATAAGCACTAGTTAATTTTAAGTTTTGATTAGAGTGAGAGACAAAAAGTTGCGGTAAAGTAAGACAACACTGAAACTATCTACCTGATACTCATAACTACTTTCGACTGTTAAGAATTGCTCTTTAGCTGAATGAGATTCTGAATATTCTCTATATACTTTAAAATTAACTCATTTTTGTAATTATTGCAGTGACTATACATGGACTGAAAGGAATGTTTCCTTGAAGCAAATTCTGCAACATATTGAAGCAACTCCCAATGTCACTCACTATGCCTTAATTGGGATGAGGAAATGGTCCAGCAAAACAAACAGTGCTGAGATCAAGGAACCATTCTCCTGCTGCCATGTGCATGATTTCATTATGCTGAATGTCGATCTGACACAGAATGTACAGTACAATCAGAACAGGTAAAAGAATCAGTAGCATCTTTCAACAGAGATAATGAAACAAATAAAGGAATTTTAAGAGAAGCTCTTGCTGGCTTTTTGGGGAGGTTGTTAATGGGATGCAGAGAGATATTGTTTTCTTATTGATGGTTCAACTCCTTCCCAATTTGCTAGCAGGTGGAAAAAGACATTAATCTCCATAGTTCTAAACAAAACAGTCACATTTGAATTACAGGGTAGACACGCTCAGCAGTGTGTCCCGCAGTGCTGGTCCACCAGGTGTCTCGTCCAAGTGGCCTTTTGGTAAACACCGTACTTCTCCTGCCCACTTACCTGGACTGCCTTCCAAAGGAAACAGGGTGAATGGTGCATAACCACATCTTGTTGTGACATGGAACTGAGGTATAACTGGGCTATTTTACCCTGAGGAGCACAGCACTGGAGCATACTGCATGTATGCTCATCAGGATAATCAGAAAAAGGAATAAATGAACCTCATCAACATTGGTGTTGGTTTCTCACTTTCAGTTGTCTCACAAATCCTAATTTTTCATTTATTGTGCTGCATAGGATATATCAGATTATAATATTGCCATGCACAGTATCACCACAGTTACCAGAACTGTATTCACTAAGTACTTCATCTCACAGAATTTTGCTGATCTATGTGAAATAAATTGTGGTTTTGGCCCCGTTTCTGAGGCACAAGCATTTTTTGAAACAGAATTAAGTAGATATTGCTAGAGGTGGGATTCACTTCTCTAAAACCGCTTTTGCTCTTTAAGCACCTCAGGACATGTGAGATGTCTGTATGGGGCTGACAGGTATGACATGAAATCTAAATGTGTTTTTCTGTAAGATAGGTGGGATACCCCAGGTAATTTAAAATGCCCCTAAACACCTGGACTTGGATAACTGAATGTCAGTGTACTTCTCAGAACTCGGCTATCTCAGGAAGATGTCTTTTGAAGTTCAAGTTTACTTATAACTGCAGGGAAGCACTTCTGCTTTCATTATTGTGTGAGTAAACAGATGACCTAAATTTCTATCGCCACCAGCCTGACACTTTAAAAGAGCATTTTAAACTTGCTCCCATGCATGTCTTACTACAGAACTGTGCTCCCAGGCTGTCTAGCTGTTGCACCTTATGAAGCATTATGAAGGGCTAATGAAGACAGCGACAATAAAGCAAAATGATATGAGTACAGGCAGCAAAGTTAAAATGTCAGGAATGCCAAACCACAGCACCCATTTCCTGCCCGTGCCTTCAAACCGTGCGTGGCTCATCATAATCCTCTGTGTGGGTGCTGTGGAGCATGAAGTGTTATATGACATTCCAAGCCTGGGCTGGCAAGGAAAAAGGTACACTTTAAAACACAGAGACGCTGACATCCAGAGATACCAAATATCCCCATAAATATTACTAAGATCAAAGACAAGATTTTAAAAACGTATAATTAAATGTCACATTTCTCACTGATGTTCACCGTTGCAGTAATCGCTCAGCTCAAATCCAAGCCCTGGATGTTAATCCAACAGTTCTGCACATCATCCCGTTTGCTGTGTAATATCTACATTCAAAATGGAGAACTGAGTCTGAAGTTTCCAAAGGCCAGAGAATTGTAATTTAGTCAGCTTTAGAAGTTCGGTTTTATTCTGTTCCATCTTATTTTTAAAACGGATCAAATTTAGCTCAGGGATGTCTGGCCTCATTCTGCTTAATTTATTCCCGTCTCTGCAGTTCTGGTAGATTAAGAAAAGACTCCTTGTCTTCAAATAGTTTTTGTCTCTAATGTAAAATGGCAATATTTTTGTAGAGGAATATTGAAAAAAATTACTGAATATTTGTTTTTTAAGGGAAAAATTAGTAGTCAGAGACCTCTGTGCATTTGACAAATCAAATGCAGGGCCTCATCCATTTCCTTGGAAGTCAAAGGAAGTAATTTCCTTGACCTTATTTGGGTTAGTAACACATGTAGCTATTTTCTATGACTGCATTATTATAGTAAAAGGCAAAGAAAATATTTTAACTCCTGGGTCTTTTCCCTGGCAATTTACTACCTTTTGCTTTCCACTTTGCCCCATGTTTCTGGTCCTTTCCCTCCCTAACTGGTTCCCTTCCTCATTCTGGTCTTCTGGAACTCATCCTAGCCTGGTTTATTATTACAAAGCCTCTTTCCCTGACTGATGGGGGCTGGTGTCCTTTCTATAGTGCTGATCAAAGACCCTGAGTGCTTGTATTTGTTAGGATGTGATGAGAAACATTCCTCTGAACTGCTATGATTTTATTCTTTCCAGGTTTACATGTGATGATATTGACTTCAACTTGCGTGTCCACAGCGCTGGCCTGCTCATCTGTCGGTTCAATCGCTTCAGTGTCATGAAAAAGCAAATTGCAGTAGGAGGACAGCGATCCTTCCACATTAAGTCTAAGGTGGGAACCGAGACCTCTGTTTCGTTGTTGTTCAAATTCTGATCTCCTTTTTGTACCCTTTAACCAGGAGAGCTGAGGTATTTTGTTGCAACACCAGTTGCCAGTAATGGGTATGTCTACTATGTTATTTTTTTTCTTTCTTTCTTAAATCCACAATATTATTGGCATAAATGAACCTTTCCCTAATAATTTTCCTTTAAAGCTTTTAAAAACACCTAAAGTATCTCTTTACGATCCAGGTAACCATTCACTACGAGCTTTTTATCTATAGCTATCGAGTTGCTCATCTTCATATGACTTCATATGTAGGAGTACTCTATAAATAAAAATAAAATTCCATGAAACTCTGAGACATTTTGGTAGCAGATATTTTTGGCTGACTGACTTTGCTTGTTATAAAAATATTAGATTTGTAGGATAGAGATATATTTCATAGAAACCAAAATTCATATAAGTACAACTTGATTGATCAGGATTGATCTGTACCAGAAATATTTTTCCTCATAGGTATCTGACACTCCAGTTTCAATCTCACCTGCTCAGTACATTTGTGCTCCTGACAGCAAGCATACCTTCTTGGCAGCACCTGCTCAGTTGCTTCTTGAAAAATACCTCCAGTATCACAGCCATCGCTTCTTCCCTCTCTCACTGAAGAATTACAGCCACCCAGTGCTATCTGTGGACTGTTACCTTAACTTAGGACCACAGGTACTGAACAAAATAATCTTCAAGCAGCTCTAGAAAGCTATAGGCGATGTTTTGGATGAGTTCATCGATGCGTTCCTTAATAATAGTTAGACAGCCTTTGACTAACCAGGTATTAGATCCCGATAATGTTAAAATCAAATTCTTAGTTCCATAGAGATATTATTAGAGGCTTCAAATAAAGTATATGGAGAACAATACCAGAGTTGTCCTAAATTCTAATACAGTCTGTGAATTATATTAGATTCTGAATTAACACAGAACACTCTCTTCTTTAAGAAGTGTTTTCTCAGTCAGCTATAATTTGGCCCTTGCTACAGCAAATTTCTTCCACAAGAGTGTTTTACAAATAGTAGCTAGCCCTTAGAAAGCACTTCAAAATACAAATGTTTTAGTTTACTTTTGACTGATGATAACCTGAGGCAGAGCAACAGAGAAACAGTCAGAACGGGAGAAGCTGCCATTACATCTCAGGAGCGGTTGGCTCTCTCTGATGAGTTTGGATCTAAAGCCAAGGTCATGCTTAAACTCAAAAGTAGGTCAGATAGAAGTGTGATACTAAGGTGGTGGTGTTCAGGAGAGAGAACTGTTTCACCTGACTTGAATACTAAATGAAATTCAGTCTTGCTGGATTTACTAAACTTTTTAACCAAAACAGCTGTGTAATGACAATATATGCTGCTCCCAGAACATTTTGAACTATATCTTTTAATTTCCTTTGTGGCTGAGCTCTTACAGGTCTGTGTTCCCGCCACGTTTGGAAAAACAAACTCTGTGGAAGGGCATTGTACTGTTACTGTCTTCATCCATTGCATCCTCTCAGCTCTAACCCATTCAGCATTCTACACCCATTCAATTCGGTTCTGGAATTGCTACCTGAGCTGGAATGTGATGCAACAGGATTGAAGGAATATGGATAAATATAGGCATCCTGGGCCAGAGTCTTAGTTGCTGTGGGTCAACCTTCCTCCACTAAATCATGCTGATTTATGCCAGATGAGGGTCTGCCTTGACTAAGTAATACAACGGCACTTTGGAAACAAAGCCTTGTGTGGAAGATTCTTTAATCTAAATTTATAAATCCTGAAAGGCTGCTAGAAATATTCCCAGTTCATAGTGGATTTGGGGAGTAGCCATAAAAACAAACTAGACAAGAGGAAACCTCGTGCATTTATCTATATGCGCAACTCTGCTGACTTGAGTAACCCTATCATAATGTAAATGAAATTAGGCATTTCTAAAGGGTTCTTTTCACGTCTGATTGCACAGTTACTATATACACTCACGTGTAGATAAACTTTGCTGGTCAGGTCACAGTGTTATGGTTCTGGGGCGCTATTGTTACTGCAGCTTTCAAACCCTACCATATCTAAACCTCATGTTAATATTAGTAATTAATAGTAATGACTAAATACATAATTACGAATAGTGTTTTTATGTAGGTTTTTAATAAGCAGAGGGATGTTTAGGAAGCAACTACAAAGATCACAATATTTGGAGTTGGAAAGCAAGTCTAAATTTGAATCAGGTGCAAATACTGAAAGCTTGAGATCAAGCCTTAGCTTTATATACAAGCTTGAAAAATGTTAATTTTTTTTTTCCCCTCTCCCCATCAGATTGCAGTTTGCTATGTGAGTTCTCGGCCTCACTCTCTGAATATCAGTTCCTCTGGTTTGACATTCAGTGGTCTCCTGCTATACCTGTGTGACTCCTTTGTTGTAGCTAGCTTTTTGAAGAAGTTTCATTTTCTTAAAGGTGAGCTGCAATAATTTTATGACAGAGAATTACATGACCTGGTCTCTGGGAACCTGGGGAAAAATGTATTTTATATGAAAATATACATGCCTATGTATGTATATGCATGTATTCCTATTTGTCTTTATACCTCCCACCCATCTTTGCTGCTTGATCATGTTGGCTCTGTGCTGTAGTAAACTGGTATATAACAGTGCTATAAGTTCTGCAGATTTCTAAGTGGGGAGGAATGTTGGATCTATATAATTATGCCTAGTGTATATGCATAACTCCTTACTTTATGTTTGAAAACTGAGTTGTTATGATCTGCTGTGTTTTTTGTTGCCATTAATATAGTTTCATGTAGGTGTGTGTAGCAAAGTGCAGACTGGGCTATGCAGTGCTTTTTCCTGCACACACCACTGAAGCTGCATGAGTGCCAGTGTCTCTGCTCATTCTGGAGTAGCGTCCACATTTTCATCAGCCTTTCATCAGCCTATCAGAGTAACTGCAAATGAAAGCAGTGCTTTTATACTGCATTTTTTGAGTGTTCAGAGGCTGCAAATCAGTTTCAGATTGCATAAACCAGCCACATGAGCATTAAACACCACATGACTTGTTTCTTTTTATTATATAGTCAAGTTGTTTTTTTTTTTTTGTCTTGGGCGTTTCCACTTACCTCACCATTTCTCATTCAGATTATTGAATTCTGGTGAGGTAATTATTTCCTCTTAACTGAGCACTTTTGTCAGAAGCCAAGAAATCACTCATGCAAGTTAAAATAGCATCAGCATGCCAGTTATGACAGTTGATATTGTCTACTAAAATATGATATTTCTTACTTTGGCATTCCAGATTTGCCTGTGTCTGTAGCCACACAGACCAATTCTTCTTTGCCGGCACATTAGCTTACCAATCCGAAAAGCACTAAAGTTTGTGATTAGTTCTAAGGACGTGTTTCGGCCATTTCTGGTCAGCAAAGCACAAAGAGCTTAGTCAGCCATCATGGTGATTGACTTGTGGTGTAAGTGTTTTGCTGAGTGAGAGTTTCACTCGACAAGGTAATGACCAGTAGGGCTGGAACACTAATGGGTGTAGGGCTTCATCTTGTTTTCACCCAGGACCATTCACCACCTCCTTAGACCTGATAGTTTTACCCTTCCTTACCCTTAAGAGTAGGGAATGTATTGTCGTCCTGTTTACTAGATGAATACGAACAACCTCAAGTTACACAAGAAGATCCTGATAAATAGAGAGCTAAACATAGTTTTCCTCAGTCCTACATGAGTGGCTTAATTTTCTCCCAAGCCCGTTTGTAATTCCTGTTGTGAAAATGGTGGAGCTCTAAGTGCTAAGGGGTGGTGGGAGCTGGGTGATCTGAGAACAAAGGGGATACTCACGTGGGTTTCTTTTTAACTGATTGCTTAGGTGCCACCTTGTGTGTGATTTGTCAAGATCGCAATTCTCTTCGCCAGACTGTTGTCCGTCTAGAGCTGGAAGATGAATGGCAGTTCCGACTGCGGGATGAATTCCAGACTGCCAATGCAAAAGAGGACAGACCACTTTTCTTCTTGACTGGACGACATATTTAATTGAAAGGAGACCCATTTCCTAAATGAAACAAGAGACTAGTTGCCACCATCTCATGAAATTACTTTTGAGAGGCTCTGCTTTCAGAATAGAAGCAGGGCTGTTTTCCATTGTTCATTAGAATAATATCTAATCAGCAAATTTACACTCATAATTCCAAACACTGAAGTGACTTTTCAAATTTAATTGTCTGATGGAAGTCATTCCTAACTCCTGGGAGAGATGCAGAAACTTACTACTCCGCTTGGCGGAAATAATTTTAGAACAGAAGGCGGGTCAATGAGTGCACTTCTCTGACAAAAAAGACCACATGCAAGTTCATAAGCAAGAGTTTTAGAAAACTTTTTTGTACATTTCAGAAACAGGAAATGTAAATTTAGGAGCAGATTCTGTTTTACAAGTATTATTTATCTAACAGTTGGCACAAGGCGAGAGGAATTGTAACAGTTTTGTAGTATGCTGCTACTGATTGATTCAGGTAGGTTTTTTATATGAAGATTTGTAAAGTATATTTCTTTAATAGTGGGAACTCAGTTGGAGCCTTAATTTTTGGAACAGGTGCCACACTGGATAGTTTTACCATACAGGACTCTTGGGATAGAAGCATAAATATATGTCTGGTTTTATTAGCATAAGGAAGAGAGTCATGAAAGTAGATTTTAAAATGAGATCTTAACATTTAAACCTGAAATTGAAATTACCTTGAGTAACTGAAGAGACCAAATGGTGAGACTGACCTGTAAGTGGCTTATTACATCTAGAACAGTGGTGTTTTCTGGTTTCTGATTAAATTTTGCACTGGCTGCAGACTTCAAGCTGGGCTAAGTGCACTCAAGACAGCAGATGAGATGGTTCTGAAACACTCCCAATATACTTTCTGGGGATATTTTCTTGCCAAAGTGCTTCAAAAGAGTGAGAAAATGGAGATAACATTTCTGAGAAATTCAGGTAGAAACTTAAAAACGTCTTCTAGAATGGCACCAGGCATCACAGTATTTTGTACACTCTAAATGTGAAATCAGTGATCCTGGTCTTTGTCTCTGTTTTTGGAAATATTCTCTGGGTTGCAAACTTCATGTTTGTCTTTATAGAATCAGTGTTGATTTCACTAAGTCCAGGTGCAGGAAGGATCACTATAGACATTGTCAGAAGATATCTAATCTTTGGGCAGTCCTTTTTTGCGGGGTACAGCAATGGGATGATCATTGGTTTTATACTGATGAAATGCCATTAGGTGACTGAGACCATAACAGTACTGACCTTGAAGTGGAGACATCAGTATGACTGTGCCAAAGAGCTAATTTAGGTTCATTTACAGGGAAAAGGTAAGTTCAGCAAGTTTGAGAGACTTAGATCTCTATTTACAACATAACTGCTACAAATCAGTGTGTTTCTGTATTTCAATGTCCTTGTTTCAGAGTGAGAATTCACTTCGTTTAAGTTTTGGGAAGGAAGGTGGGCATTGTCCTGTGTAAATAGTATTACCTGTTCAGGTTTCACCAGTTGATTAGTTAATTTAAACTTTTTAAAATAAGTGTGACATTTATGTCTAATTCATTCTTTACAAATAAAGTTCATGCTGCATGGACTTAGGGAAAAAAAAAAAAGGGGTTGGCTGAAAGAAGTTAATATACTGAAGGCATGCCCCAAATGGATCAAGAGAAAATACAGTGCTGTTTAATGGCCTAAAGCATAACACAGCCTCAAAGGTATACATGTTTTTACAAGAACTTGGAACTAAAGACAGCGGGATGAAATCTCCTTTCCTGTAACCAAATACTCAAACAACTTATACCAAGTGTCTGTAAACTTTCCCTGTGTTTTTCTTCGCAAGTCTTTAGATATTCCATTTTCTCCAAGAATCTAAAAAAAGGCCTAAAGTATATAATAATAAATAAATAATAATAAATCACATACTTTCTTAACATTGTCTTTTGCCAGGAAGTCTTCAAACTTTGACAAAATGCAGCTGCTAGTGGGCTGAAACCATCATACTCCTGAGTGTTGTTTCACCATTAACCTTTTGCTCGGTGAGTTACCTACCTCCTGTATCCTGTCTACAGGACAGGGCTCTCAGGATCTGGCCTCACCAGCCGTATGCCTATCGTGTGACTGAGCGCAATCATTGTCCATCATGGAGTATATACATAAGCAATTGTATATGGTGAAACTCGCTTGCACAGCCCATTGTCTGATGGAGCACATCCTGTTATAAGAACAGATACGCACTTACTGTGTGACCAAAATGCAGTTACTTCCCATCATACAAGCTGTGTACCCAACACGGTAGAAAAATATGTCATTTTGCTCACAGGATGCCAAAAATACAGTGGTGGATGAGTCAGGGACAGACGTTCTGCAGAGCTCCATCCAAAAGTTCCTTCATCCCTGACCTAGTTTGCAAGCCAAGCTCCCTTAGGGTGTAAGCTTCCAGGGAGAGGGACAATGTGGGGTTCCTGTCCAACTGTGACTCTGAGGTGATACAGTAATACAAATAAATAATCATGACAAATAAAAGCAAATTTCTTTGGATGGAGCTGGCATCCTGTGCTGTCGTTGTTTGCCGTAGGTGCACGTGCAGGTCCCAGCTCCACCCTTCTCTCCTCTTGCCTTTTGCAGCAGGGAATTACTGCCTTTCAGCCCCAGTGACCTTTGTTGAGAAAACTTGGCCCCTCCATTATGCAAACAGATCTTTTGGTCTTTTCTTTCTGACTTTGGACGTGGCAAGAAGACAGAGCTCTCCATCACATGGATTGACCTGATAATGTGGTAGCAAACAAAATAAAAGGCATTGCCTGCATACTTTTAGACTTTTTACAGCCTCTACCTTCTTCTCTAGTGCATTCCATGCTTGCTGGTTTAGTCATCCACTATTATCACCTGCAGATAGTATTGTTAACGTGTTCTGCATTGTGTGTCAGGATGGTAAAGTCTTTTATGGGTCAGCTTCTGCAAAAGACAGTACCCAAATATAAAGAAGGTTACTGGGAAGGTGACATTATTTTCCTTCTTACTATCCCCTCTCCACTATCAAAGCACTCTTCACAAGCACTTAAGCACTGGTATCTGGTATTTGAACAGCATGTGCATTACAGCTGATGTGAACACTAGAGGATGTAAGGGATTTCACCCTTCTTCCCTAGCAAGTGCCTCCTGTTGTGGTGAGAGGGAACGTACAGGTCTCGGCTCCCATCCTGCATCTAAAAGCAGCTGCTAAATACTGCTTGAGAGGGGGCTGCTTTTCAAAGGCTGCATCGGTGACACTCTGTGGTGAAATGTGTCAGTCACACAGAAAGAAGAAAGTACAAGCCAACCTCGTGCAGTTCAACAAGGCCAAGTGCAAGGTCCTACATCTGGGTCGGAGCAATCCTAAGCACAAATACAGGCTCGGTGGAGAATGGCTAGAGAGCAGCCCTGAGGAGAAGGACCTGAGTGGGCTGATTGACCAGAACCTCAGTACGAGCCAGCAATGTGCAATCGCAGCCCAGAAGGCCAACTGGATCCTGGGCTGCATCAAAAGAAGTGCGGCCAGCAGGTCAAGGGAGGTGATTCTGCCCCTCTACTCCACTCTTGTGACACCCCACCTGGAGTACTGCATCCAGCTCTGGAGTCCTCAACATAAGAAAGACATGGACCTGCTGGAGCGGGTCCAGAGGAGAGCCACGAGGATGATCCGAGGGCTGGAGCACCTCTCCTGTGAGGAGAGACTGAGAGAGCTGGGGCTGTTCAGTCTGCAGAAGAGAGAGATCTTATTGCGGCCTTCCAGTACCTAAAGGGGGCCTACAGGAGAGCTGGGGAAGGACTTTTTACTAGGGCATGTAGTGATAGGACAAGGGGGAATGGCTATAAACTGGAAGAGGGCAGGTTTAGATTAAACATTAGGAAGAAATTTTTTACTTTGAGGGTGGTGAGGCACTGGCACAGGTTGCCCAGAGAGGTTGTTGAGGCCCCATCCCTGGAGGTGTTCAAGGCCAGGCTGGACGTGGCCTTGGGCAACCTGGTCTAGTGGGGGTGTCCCTGCCATGGAACTTGGAACTCTATGATCTTCAAGGTCTTTTCCAACCTAAACCATTCGATGATTCTGTGAAGTAATAGACAAAGAACCCAAAGGAGGTGTCAGATGAGAGGTTTATAGGGTGGAAAATGGAGAGCAAGGGAAGTGGGGGCTGTGAATGGAGGCAGCAGCATGGAAGAAACTGAGGGGCAAGTAGGGCTCCTGGCTGTGGTAGCAAGTGTTTGCTGGGGCAGAAGGACCCTGGGCAGGGGCTGTGTGCAGTGTGAAGGAATCAGGATTTCCACAGCAGGGTGCGTGGCGTGAGCACCCAGCTCAACAGGTCCCCGCCATCTATGGGGCTGGGCTGGGCTGGCTGCAGGGCTTGGTGGGGGATCCCTCCTTTGTGGGGTGACATCCCTCCTTCCTGGGGTCTGTTCCCCATCCACCACCACGGTGTCTGTAGCAGAAATGACCATGCCAGAGCTGTCTCTCAGAGTGGCAATGCATTGCAATTATCTTAAAGACCAGCCTCTGCCTGCATCCATCCGCCACACACCGCTTTCCCAGCGAGCAGAGTCTGGCACATTGGCAGGCTCCCACAGTCCCGCCACACAGCCTTACACTGCACCACGCACAACCCGTCACCCTGCCTTTCCGTCCTACCAGAGTCCTCCGCTCACACATCATCCCCTACCCATCAGCAAGCAGCCATAATATTTCATCAGCTGTCACTGAAATACAGTGGCTATGCCAGTGTGCAATAAAATCTGTATTCTTTCCTTTTTCCCACTTCCTTAAGGACACAGCTCTTCGATGAAACATAAAACTTGGGCCATACATCCTCTGCCTCTCAACTGTGTTCTACTCCTTCTACTCCAATAATCCAATTGCTGGCATTGCCCATGGCTGACATATTATTTGGTAAAAGAGTGCTGGGGTGTTGGATGTAACAGTGAGACTCCCGCTCAGTGAGAAAAACACATTTGGAATCAACTGCCGTGATTTTGAGAAAGACTTCATAAAGCTGCTTCATATGTAAATGTGGTTTTGATTGAAATCCTCAAGAAAATCGAAATGCTTGATTTAGATTTACATAGTAATATAAACAGAAGTAAATTTCTTCACA